CGAATACCCGTGACAGTCGCCGTCGGCTCGCATCGCCGCTCGCACCCTTTTCCTCTGAGCTGCACACTCTAAAATTGACATAGACACCGAACAGCCACAACACTACATTCCGCCATGATAGATCATAACAACGCGCCACGGGGTTCACCGCGTGACACGCAAGGACGTATAGCGCGAGATTTGAACGATGTCGACAGACTTTTCGAACAACTCTTAAATCTCTCTTTCTCTCTGTCTCTCTGTCTCTGTCTCTCTCTCTCTCTCTCTCTCTCTCTCTCTCTCGCGAATCTTGTAAATCCGGTCTCTTTTTATTCTTTTTTTTTTTTATAAAATATTAAGTTTCGAATTTCCGTCACGACTTTTGTCTTGATTTTTGAATCTCGATGGCCGGAGAAAACTCGACGCGTTTCTCGCAGTATCTAAATCGTGTACAACGACGGCAGTGATGACCTCAAGAATCACGCGGTCGGTAAAGCGACCAAGTGCTGGCGAACATACAAGTTTCAGACTTCTTCTGCGACTTTGCAATCTTTTCATTGCGATGAATCAAGATTTTTTTTTTCAGATGCGCTTCGCACGCGCGCAACGATCGCCTCGCGTGCCGCCACGATGCGATGATTTCATCTCCGCGCGGATGCATTTTCTCCAGACTCCAGAATCCGACGGGTTCTTCGATTTCTGACGTCACGGTCAAAGATGGCCGGACGACTTCTCGAAGTAGTCGAAGTGATATGACTCGGAAATTATTAATGTCGAGTAATAATTGTAATGTTCCCTGTGTGTTTGCGCGCGCGCATTTATGATATCCGAAGAATAATATAATATGCCTGTTTGTATTTATTTAATATCCATAATAATTGTCCAAAGCAAACCTGACGGATTTTTTTCTTGAAATATCAAATTATGATAATTTTCTTTATTGAAAACGAGACGATAATTGGACTTTCACATCGTAGTAGTATTCAATTCGATAAGACGGCTCGAAAAGTGGACCGATCTTGCTGATGACATCGTTACGTCATCGCGATATCTCTTAAATTTATAACTTGGTAGCTCGGTACACCAGCAATCGTTCGGATATCACATTTTTCTCTTTTCTCGCTCCTCTGCAGAAGCAGCGATAACTTTATTGAAAAAAATATAAGATACTGTGCATACGTAATACAGGCGACATCTCGGTAGGAATCGCAGAGATACGGTTGCTATATTCGATAGAACAATTAAAAAAACAATTAGGACACGCTGAAAATTAATTTATAAAATCGCAACGAATTTACGAATGTTATGAATTATAAGGCGTATATAAATTATCAGCATTATTAATGTTTATCGAGGAAGTTACTCTTACATATTAACATTGTTGCATACTCCACTTTACGAAATCGAGTGTGCGCATTTTCGAGATGTTAAAATGAGGTTATAAATATCTTTCGATTGATCAATAAAACTTGGCGAATGCATTAATGTCAATCAGTTTTCTTCTATATCATGTAGAGTATATTGCTTTAAATTGTTTTAACCGCGTATTTATTATTAGATTGGTAGCTCTTGTCACAAACATTAAACATCACATTGACATTAGCAAGAATGTCACATCGTGATTGACTAGTGTTCATTGTTAAATAATATACGTAAAATATCTATTAAAAATTAACAATACATTTTTCTTTCAAGGATAAATTTTTTTATAATACTTGCTCATTGCTATTAATTATAAAAAAAATAAACACGATGTACAATCTATGACTGTATAAAATTGAAATAGCTCATATAGATTAAACAGATTATAAATAATCGTATTCGAAAAAAAACTTTATGTAGAAATTCCATTTTTTTAAATATTAGGGTTATTTAAAAAAATTTTAAAAGTTTAATTATTTATATATCATAACTATAATGTCTCTTTTCTGAATAATTAGATCTAGAATCAAAGTCAGTTTTAAATTCAAACATTTAGTATCCAAAATTGAATAAAAATATTCAATCCGGATTAATAGAATTAATAATGTTGATGCAATAATAAAAGAGAAATATAAAACAATTTACTCACAGACTGAGTTAAAGTTTATCCCTGCATTTATCTTTTATACATATTCTTTCTGCACTTTTAGTTAAATCTTAATTCTATAACAATTATCTCTAAACATATACTTTTGCATTATCCATATTGTTAAAAAAAAGAAATATGTTGATAAATAAATTATACATTGGCTAATTATCAGAAATAATTGTACTGTTCATTGTGATAATATCGATATGTTGTCTTGGTTTTATGAAAGGATGAGATACACAAAAATATGGCGTATTTACATGACAATATAATTATAAATGTACATACGAAATTTCCATATATTAAAGCTTAGGGATAAAGGTACTCAAATACATGTTTATGCAAAGAACATGAAATAATTTTAAGGTTTCATGTAGTTTCATAAGAAATATTCTCGTACAATTGTAAAGATTATATAGATAGCAAGAAAATCTGTAATTATTTACAGGTAAACACATTTATAAATCTGAAAATTATAATCAAGTATAATAAGTCAATGGAATTAATTTCTTACATTTTATATGCACTCTGGTAATAATTTACAAAAAGAAAGACAAAAAATTGTCATTCCTATAAAATCATTCTTCCATGTGATTATGATTGTTGGTAGTATAACAGTTTGCAATTTGAGTCTCAAGCTTTCAGTCTCGGTTATCACTAAATTCTGGATTTAATAATCGCTGGAGATTTTTTTACAAACAGCCTTATCAGTGCTTAAAACATTAACTGGCTTTTAACCCCAAACAATATCGAATATCGTCTCAATCACAAAATCCAAACTTTAGCTTTATACAGTCCTCAATTATTGACCGTTTGCGTTAATTGAGGCCGATAATAAACCAAGTTAAAAACTATTATGTTACATAAGTTATCACATAATTTATTTTTATTTATTCTGTTGGTGGAGGTGAAAATTTTTGTAACCTACGTCTGCGCAGCATTTCTTGTTCGCTTGAAGATTCAGTCCTAGATAAGTCTACTGTATCATTACATGCTGACGTGTCTTCCTTCGATATACTTGGAGTAGGAGTGTTTTCCTTTGACGTACTCGGAGTCGGAGTAGTGTTTCCTACTTTAACTTGAGAACTATCGCTATTAATTTCATTATTTGTGTTTGCTGTACCGCTTGGACCTGGCATCGTGGATGTATCTGAGGTGCTATCGGTATTGCTTGTAGAATTATTATTCACAGGAATGCTGCAATTTTAAGTCATAGGTGTTTTATGTAATAAATAATAGAATATATATATATATATATATATAATTTTTATAGAATATTATACTCACTTAGCAGTAGCAGCTGCTGTTTGATATTGATTCATCATTGCATTGGCTGCATCTAATAAAAGTTGAATTCTTTGCAGCGTTTGTATCCTGGCTTCAACAGCTTGCCGCAGGTTACCTTCCATTGCTCTGAGCTCTTCTTCGCTCAATTCGATTAAATTTGGTGGCGGTACAGGAATAGGTGGTAATGGTACTATTGTAGGAAACAGCGGTGGGAAAAGTGGAATATTTCCAGTAGGTGGTATTGGATTTTGAGGCGGAGTACTTCCAGCATTATTTTGAGGTTGCTGCTGTTGCTGCTGCGGCTGCTGTTGTTGCGGTTGTTGTTGCTGTTGTTGCTGTTGTGGTGGCATACCTGGAGCTGGTAATCCAGCCCAAAATACCGGGAAATGAAAGGGTGGTCCTGTATTAAATAATAAAAAGAAATAGATTAAATATGGAGATAACATATTTAATACATAAAACTCAAATACAAGAAATAATACAAAGTTATACCGATAGGATTGACACCAGGTGCTTGTGGAGGTTGTGGAGGCACCTGTGGTCCAGGCTGAGGAGGATTTTGTTGTCTAGGTCTTGTGTTGTTCGGCGTAGGCCTCAAAATGTTCAACCGACACGTCGGACATGTTTGCTGACGTTGAAACCAAGAACGTAAGCATGCAGTATGGAAGATATGATTACATGGCAATTTTTTACTAGCTGTAATCATTTCCTCTCTGCAAGCATAATGTATCAGGTTACATTACAAGTGTTACAAGAAATCACACAATTTTTGTATTCACACAATCTTAATAAATCATTTATTATTGTTCACAATTTGATTTATTGTAATACTTACCGACATATAATGCAAACATTATCAGCAGCAGCTAACTCTTCAGTTGTTGCATCTGGATAAAGAGTATTCATATTCCTAATAGCTCTTCGAGACATTACAATATCGTGAAGTGCTTTCTTGAAATCTCGCATTGTGTAATACATAGGACGCAATGCAAATAAAGGTAATGTAAATAACTTTATCATTAAGGTCACAAAGGCAAAATAGAGGAAGACCTATAAGGAAATATTATTCTGTTAGATAAAATACAAGCACACATATACAGAATTATAAATTAACATAAAAATAAGATTTTTATAATAATTACCTTCAATATGCCAATAATCAATTCTGTATACAACAGGAACACTGGTTTGTTATCCCAGGGAGTTTCGCTTTGTAGATCAATAGTATGCAAGACATATTTTACAGTAATATTAAAAAGAACAGTTAGCAAAATTGCATATTCAAAGCCAAACACAAGTTGTACGGAGGGACCTTTAGTGGCTGTTGTATCGTAGGCATAATTAATCATCATTATATTGATGACAAACAAAAGATTTAGTAAAGTAGCGACTCTGAGATGGAACAACCATGTTATTACCGGACTTCTTTCCATCTGAAAGATAAAAGATAATTCATTGACTGTACAGAATGTAATTACTATAT